GTGTTCAATACAACAGAACATAAAAATGAATATTGAAATTAAGGACCAGCAATGCTAAATTATTTTAAAATTTCATTTAAATGTTTTAAAAATCAATTCTATTTTTTTCTGGACCTGCCTTTTGTTTGGAGTTTGGATCTTTACATGCTACTCAAAAACATCCCCTCTATGCAAAGAGAACTTCACTCTTTTTCATTTAGGAGTTTTAACAGCACACAAGTGCTTTTATCTTGAAATCAGTGCCTCTACAGCTGGTCCATGTTTTCACTCATATTTCACCTAAAATAATTTAATGAGTACCACTTTAAGGAATAGTCCTACAAATAACAACAGTAATTGATTTTATCCATGGGAGGTCAATATTAACCACTCTAGAGCAGTGTTTCCCAAACTTGGCAATTTTAAGGCGTGTGGAATTCTGGGAGTTGAAGTCCTCATGCCTTAAAATTGTCAAGTTTGGGAAACACTGCTCTAGAGAACCCTGACAGAGTAGAACACAACTGGGAAAAGGCTCCTGCACTCTTGTCCTCCTTGTCCTGCTGAGGAACATGCCTCTTATGCATAAATTAAATATCATAAAGGATTGTGGCCCTTTAACTTAAGGAGACTCCAGTAAAGAAAGATTTGTATGGTGAGTGAAAAATGCATGGCTCCTTTTACAATATGAATGATGGATGAGTTTGGGAGGAAAACTCAGTGAGCCGTGCTTTTGTACAAATACCACATATTAGTCAAAAATGTCATTTCCTTTTAATGTATTATGGCAGATGGATCAGTATGACCAGGACTGGGGTACTTAGATGAATAAAGTCTCTGAACCCATCATGCTTCTAACTGAAAATGTGATTAAGTGAGCACAATTCACATTCCCATTGATTTTAAAGGATGGAGACTGTTCCATGTGCATGAATGTCCTGGGTATGCCTTTAAAATCTGTTCACTACATTCAGAGAGAGTTTAAGGACTATGTGATGTGGTAGTTGCCATGGTAATGACTAGGTTTGTTATTGATTACCCAAATAAAAACTCATAGAAACCTATATAACTCGTTGGCGTGTAATGCTCCCTTGAGGAATCTTAAGTTGCACTTCTTTCCTTTAGTCAATGTTTCTCTCTCGTTCTATGGGCTTTTCTACCATGAAAAAAATGAAGTAGCACAATTGCTGTGCAAGAGCTGTATTATGTTCTGCAAATCAGCATTTGCAAGAGCATTAAACATACTTCACTTGTCTATCTCTTTACTTCTGGGGAGTTTTATTTTCTCCAGTTTGAAAACCATAAATTGTCACTGCTGGATAAATGGGATTTTATCTTAAGCAGGCTCTTCAAGTTCAGTTACAGGTGTTGTATGTAGTAGGCAACTTTTGGTCACTGCCTGCATCCTGTCTAATGATAGGTAGAATATTTTCCACCCATGCCTATGTCAAACTCAATCATTCATACTTTATCTTAATAAACTGGGAAGTTGCAAACTAATATCTCCCATACTGATCATATGGAGTCATTTATCTAGTTTTTTTCTTTTCAGTTAAACAGTAAGCAACATCAGAAAAGATGCCATTTGCAGTTGGTGTGTGCGTGTCTTTGCATCAGTGTTGACTTCTGACAATTGTCTGGAGTTGTCCTTGCAGTTTTCTTGACACGGTTTTCAGATATGGTTTGCCACTGCCTGTTTCCTAGGGCTAAGAGAGAATGATGGGCCCAAGGTCACCAACTGGCTTTGTGCCTAAAGCAGGACTAGAACTCAAGGTCTGTCAGATTTTAGCCTGGTGCTATGTGCACCACATTAAACTGGCTCTGTAAATATTACTTCTGACTCAGGCATCTTCCTTGTAAAGAAAAAAAAATGGGAACAAGGTTGTTCTTTGGACTTTGTTCATTACATGGATGCCATGCTAAACTCAGCGAGGACAATCTTTTGTCATTCACTCACAATTGCCTGATAAGCTACAGTTGTAGTTTAGTACAAAAAGTCTTCTGTCAGATAATTGGCTTCGTGGATACCATGAAGCCTCCTACCAGAAGGTAACAAGGAAAACAGGTCGTGATGAGGATGTGTAGTGTCCCAGATAATCTTACGGACCCTGCTCAATGGCCAGAGAGCATGGCCAGCTGATCACTCAGGTTGCAGAGTGCCTGTGGGGGGGGGGAATCTATGGGTCTCTGGAATGGGACTGGGGTGGGTGCCTGCCTTCCTTCCCTCCCTTCTCTCCCCTTGTCCCTTCCTTCCTTCTTTTCTTCCTTTCCTTCATCTCCCTCTTAGTCTCTTCCTCCTTCCCTCCCACTCCCATTGTCCCTTCCTTCCTTTTCTTTCTTTCCTTCACCTCCCTTAGTCTCTTCCGCCTTCTGTCCCTCTTTCCCATGTCCCTTCCTTCTTTCCTTCCTTTCCTTCACCTCCTTCTTAGTCTCTTCCTCCTTCCCTCCCTCTCCCATTGTCCCTTCCTTCCTTCTTTCCTTCCTTTCCTTCACCTCCCTTAGTCTCTTCCTCCTTCCCTCCCTCCCTCTTTCCCATTGTCCCTTCCTTCCTTCCTTTTCTTCCTTTCCTTCACCTCCCTTAGTCTCTTCCTCTTTCCTTCCCTCTTTCCCATTGTCCCTTCCTTCTTTCCTTCCTTTCCTTTACCTTCTTAGTCTCTTCCTCCTTCCCTCCCTCTCTCCCATTGTCCCTTCCTTCTTTCCTTCCTTTCCTTCACCTCCTTCTTAGTCTCTTCCTCCTTCTCTCCCTCTCTCCCATTGTCCCTTCCTTTCTTCTTTCCTTCTTTTCCTTCACCTCCCTTAGTCTTTTCCTCCTTCCCTCCCTCTCTCCCATTGTCCCTTCCTTCTTTCCTTCCTTTCCTTCACCTTCTTCTTAGTCTCTTCCTCCTTTCCTCCCTCTCTCCCATTGTCCCTTCCTTCCTTCCTTCCTTTCCTTCACCTCTCTTAGTCTTTTCCTCCTTCCTTTCCTCTTTCCCATTGTCCCTTCCTTCTTTCCTTCCTTTCCTTCACCTCCCTTAGTCTCTTCTTCCTTCCCTTCCTCTTTTCATTGTCCCTTCCTTCCTTCCCCTCCCTCTTAGTCCATTCCTTCCTTCCCCTCCCTCTTAGTCCCTCCCTTCCTTCCTTCCTTCCTTCCTTCCTTCCTTCCTTCCTTCCTTCCCTTTGTCCCTTCCTTCCTTCCCTCCCTTCCATTGTTCCTTCCTGTCTTTCCTCTCTCATTGTCCCTTCCTTCCCTCCCTCTTCGTCCCTTCCTTCCTGCCCCCCTCCGTGCCCAGGAAGGGACAAGGGGAGGGGGACAGGCTGCCAGAGGCAGCTCTGCCCAGCTCACTTGCTCAGCTTCACCAGAAAACATGCCGCTTGCTAAATTAGCAGAAGCCCCAGGATCAGCGCCTGGGTACAGCTGAGTCGCGCTTCTGCTAAATTAGCAAGTGGCATGTTTTCTAGCAAAGCTCGAGCAAGTTTGCTGGGCAGAAGCCAAGGAGAGCAGCTACAGCTGACTTGCTTCTTGGCTGCTCTGCAGAATCACGGATCAGCTGTAGAGGTTCACCCGATCCTGGACAAGAAGGAAGGAAGGAAGGACGGAAGGGATAAGGGGAAAGAGGGAGGGAAGAAGAGACAAAGAGGGAGGCGAAGGAAAGGAAGGAAGGAAGGGACAAGGGGAGAGAGGGAGGGAAGGAGGGACAAAGAGGGAGGCGAAGGAAAGGAAGGAAGGAAGGAAGGAAGGAAGGAAGGAAGGAAGGAAGGAAGGAAGGAAGGAAGGAAAGAAGGAAGGGACAATGGGAGAGGGAGGGAAGGAGGAAGAGACCAAGAGGGAGGGAGGGAAGGAAAGGAAGTTCCAGCCAGCAGAGGCTTGGCAGCCTGGCTGTCGAGTAACAGAAGAGCGCAAAGCCAAGGAGAAGAAGGTGGCGGTTTCCTCCCAAAGGGGGCTCCTTTTCTCCACCCCTTCCCTGGGTTTGTGGGGAATTTCTCATCACCAACGCTGACAGGTGCTCCTTTGAGCCCGCCGCGAGCTTTCTCGCCCCCTTTGCTTCTCTCCCCCCCCGCATTTGTGAGGATTTTGGCACTCTTGGGAAGCCGATCATGCTTTGAAGCTTAGGAGAGGAGGAGAAGTCCCTTTGTCCTTCCCTCCCTCTCTCCCTGTCAAGTCCCGGTGGGCTCGACATGAACGGGCGGAGGACTCGAGGACGGGCGGGGTGGTAAAGGAGACCGGCGGCTGTCACCAGACCTCCCGGCTGACAAGCGCAAGTTCGGGGGTCGCCAGCTGACGGGTGCAGGAGTTGGGTGCTGCGGCAGCCTCTCCTTCGCTGACCTGTGTGCACAAGAAGTCAATCTGGCTGCTGCAATATAAGTCTCTGGGGAGGGTGGGGCCTTGATCTGTGCCTACGCTCTTCATGCGCTCCCTGCAGGGCACATTTGGTAGAGTTCGTGCAGACTGCCGCCAAGCAGCATTTTCCACAAACAAGTGAGGTGGAGTGGAGGGGGGGAGGGAGAGAAGGTGGTTGACAAGCCCTGCCTAAGACCATCAGAAATATGTGCTTTCTGATGGTCTTAGGTGACCCCTGTGAAAGGTTCATGTGACCTCCAAAAGGGTCGTGACCCACAGGTTGAGAACTGCTGCATTAAATGAAAGCTAAGCATTTTCTTATCAGCATACATGTTATACTAATAACATTCACAAAAAAGGCTTTGAAGTACTCAAGAATATCACTTGAGAGAATAACTTATATAAAATAATGTACCAATAGACAGAAAATTAGTAAGTAGACTTGAGATGCTAACTTTATCTGTACATGAAGTCCCAGTGAAACAATATGATCTATCTGCAAATAAAAATGGTTCAGACTGAGCGGTTAAAATTTTCCATGCCTACAAGAAGCTCCTGACTACAGTCTATTCAGTTTTTTAAATTTTGAAAATAAGATTCATCCATCCAAAGGAAGAATATTAAGATCACCAACATGTGCAGTTCACAACTTTTGTTTCATTATAATATAATATATTGGTAATGGTACAGTAATGTGTACACTCACCGCTTGACATATAACTGGATATTTTACACGATTTATTCCACCAGCAAAAACAGCAAAAGTGAGAGCAGTATGGAAACAGAAGTTGAGAAGCATGTGCCAACCTTTTCTGCTGATTCGAATTGTGCTATTTAAAGTTAACAACAAAAAAAAAAAATCCAAAGTCACATATTTATTTACAAATAACATCACAGAATTATGAACAATGAACATATAGCCAGGGACTCAAACTCAGGATCCTTAGTGCTCGACTTGTTTCAGAAAGGGCTGAATCAGAATGGTAATTCTGCTTAAATACAACTTGCTTCTCTCAAGAAAGTACTCTAGCATTGCAGGATCCCAATTTGTGCTATTACAGTTGTTACAATTACTGTATTTACTACTCTGACTCTTGCCTATATTGACCTCTGGACATCTGTTAAAACTGTACAACTTACCTGTCTGATCATGATTCAAATGCAAATTAGGGTAAATCATTTAAGGAGGGACTTCAAGAACTAGTTGATTGGTGCATTCATGTTCTTTGTGTTTGTTATTTTAGCATACCATTAGTCTATTCAATGAGTAAACAAACCAGAGCTTGAAGCAACTTTTAAGAGGTTGTTATGCAAATGAGCTCTTGGAAAAATACACTGTCTAGAGAATAACAATTCTATTTTCTAGTAATTTCGACATGAAAGAAAAGTAATTTCTACACGGAGCTTAATTAAGACAAAAGTCTGTACAGTATTTATTTTGTAGTACATTTTGGATCCACTCTCCCTCCAAAAATCAGAAGGTGTCTGAAAGCATATTTCAGACTAACACATTTTATTAAAAGGCATAAATATAAATTGCTAGTTTGATGAAGTGCTATCAGGCTTCTCCTGAACTGTGGCTACCAGAGTAACATGGCTGTCTGCCTACTTTTCCTTCAAGGATCTCCAGGCAGGGGGCTGCTTAAGCAGCATTGAAACCTGAAGCTATTCTCAGAGTTCCAATTGGATGAATCTTTATTAACATCCTTCTCCAACCTGTGTCTTCCAGGTGCATTGAACTACAATCTCCTAATCTCCAACCAGAGCACCTTCTGAAGATTATGTGAATTACAATCTAACAGATATGGAATGTGCCAGGTTGGGGAGGGATGATTGTAGTGTTGTCTGGATTAAACAGTAGATGAAAGAAGAATATTTTGCAGATCACGTTGGAATACTAAGAGAAATGAAAAGAGAATTGTTCGTATTGCACACAGACCATCAGGGGTAATGTATGAATTGAACGTTATTCAAGCCAAAAGCCATTGGAGGAAATACATAACGAACGTATTTATAGCAAGAGAAAATGCATGCTATATATGGGCTTTCATGCATGAGAAGAGTGTGCAACCAATAAGGTGCAGATAAAATCAGATACAGTACATCAAGCATCAGTTTTTTTCTCATTCAGATTTTCATAGATCAGTCACAATGCCAATTACTTGATCACATGAAATCATATTCATGTGCAACTAATAAAATTCAGGCATTCTTCTTTGTGATGGAGAGTCTGCATATCTGAGAAAATGTATATAGAAAATCACAAATGAGAACTCTTTGCAACATTATCCCTATTTGCACTAGAAGAAAAATATTTCTGTAGCAGATCAGATCCATACATTGTGCTAAGCCAGTGATGGAGAACCTTTTAGAGACCGAGTGCCCAAACTGCAATCCAAAACTCTCTTATGTATCGTTGGGTGCCAGGTGGGCGTGGCCCATAACGGCAGACTGGGTGGGACTAAAAAGTTCAATCAATTAATTCCAACTTTGTGAGATCTTTTTTTTCCCATGTGAAGTTGAAATTGATTGAACCTTTTTTTTAAAGTGAAAAGGTTTTATAAAACCCAGCTGAAGGCCTAGGACTAGGGCGATGGCACGCGTGCCCACAGAGAGGGCTCTGCATGCCACCTGTGGCACGCGTGCCATAGGTTCGCCACCACGGTGCTAAGCCATCATTTGACCTGTTCAGCTAGTCCAACTTCTGAACCATGCTTTGTCCTAGGACAATGCATGAATCCAACCAATCATGGCAAATAGCAAATGAGCCTCTCTTATTGAGAATTGTACACCTACATGTACGTGAATGATCGGATAGAAGAGATGTTGCGGGCAGAGGAAACAGATAAGAAATATTAACTCCTTAATTCTCTTCTTCTAACTATCACAGCCACTCCTGGCCCCACTTGCTTTTGAAAAAAAATGTTCTAGGGATAATATTTTGGAGAGAAAGAAGAGTAAAAGAAATGATTGTTGCTACTTTTTAAAGTGTTTAGAATAAAAGAAATCCAGATACTGTGAAAGTAGCTCATATTCAAGTACCCCCAAGAAAAACCTATGGAAATCTTTCCCATCTTTACTTGCTTTGACAGAAGAGGCAGATAAGCAGAATAGAAATATTAATTTATATAAACTAATCACTGAGCCCTGTGAAACTTCAGATATAATTATATGTACGACAAACATAACAGGGGAATTCAGCCTCCATTTGCAATAGCAAAACATTTCTACAAACAGTCAGAACATTTGCAATAGTGGAAGGTGGAATCAACTCCAACCTCTGGGTATATGTGTGTGTGTGTGTGTGTGTTTGTGTGTGTGAAGGAGGGAGAAAAAGAACATCCACATGAAAACAAACTTTGGATGGCTCTAAATGGCATTTGAAGTGCCTTGATGTCCTCAGTCTTTCCCATACACATACCTCTTTTGCACTGGATTAAGAGACTTATTTATGAAAGTGATGAATGGGAAAACTGCATATAAATAAGAAACCCTGTTTATCAAATCTCTTCCAAAAATTGGACTGGGCAAGGGGAGAGAAGTATAATAATGTAATACACTTTTTTATGTTGCAAAAGAAAAAAAGTGGGTGAATCCACTTAATGTTAATAATCTGCATCTTTCTTCTTACCCGTGATGCACAATATAGGTGATAATTGAAGCAAAGAGGCACAATAACATGACCGCAGTACATGCATAAACCACAGGGTGCAGGAACTCCCCTGGGTATTGGGATAGGGGCCACACCGTCTTCTGATCCTGTCAAAGAAGGAAAATGAAAGAAATTAATCAGTACAATATTTGCCTCCTACATCGAGTAACACTAGCTTTTCACTATCAACTATCTTCATCTACACTAGGGATTTCCGTCCTTGTTAACTTTTCCTCAGAAAGCATGTCAGGCTGGGGAATTCAGGGAGTTGAAGTTCAAAGTTCTTAAAGTTGCCGAAGTTGGACATCCTGATCTACACATTTCTGGTTTTGTGTTAGGGGTTATGCAGTTAAAGAGGAATCCTAAATGTTGCCTCCTAAATGTTGTGCACACGCTTGCTTCTCCTTGCCCTAGTGGGGATGTGTTTGCACATGCACGTGCTTGCCTGCCATTTCTGCAGCCCAGCTGTAGACAGATCATGGCCTATTGGGTGGGCTGTGGCACAGAGGTTGGAGACCTCTGGTCTAAATGATAAAAAATATCAAAATAACTCAGCAAAAAGCTGTCAACATTTACAAAGTAACCATTTGTTAATAATTGCAATTAGACATGAAATGTACACCGTAATAACTAAGTAAATGTTACTTTGTGCTACTTTCCATGGGTTACTAGCTTCACTATTCTACTTTTACATGGTACAGCTAATATAACTACTAGTTCTTTGTAGAGAAATGGACATTTCAAAGATCTCTCCTTAGTTTTAGCTTTAAAAATATAAAACTTCCTTCCTGAAAAAAAAAATAACTGGTAGATTTTAGTAGCCAACTAAATAAAATTTTTCATATGTGGCAGGTTGGCTGGAAACCAATTCTACTTAATGGGGGAGCTTGAAGAGGGAAAGTAACCTAGGACTCATATAGTTGAGATTTCTTATTTATTGGAATCAAACAGGCGAAAGATCTATTTATTATCTACAGGATTGGCTGTAAATAGTTCTAGTCATAGAATGTATAGTAAATGGTTTAAAAAAAAAGGACAGCTGCTCTTCCTTACTAAAGTTAATTCCTCACTAACATTCATGAGCAAGTTAAACCAAAAAACAGGTTGTGGTGCCTGGCTGACCTTCTCAGAAACTAAACAATATCTGATCTAGTTATGCTTGGATGGGAAACTATTACAGAATACTTTGGCTTTAAGCTAGAGTAGAAAGTTAAAAGAAAGTCCCAGAAGGCAGATGCAAACTACTTGTGTATCATTGTCAACAAGACTTTATTCATTCAGGAGCTGAGCACAACCTGAGGCATTTTTACTTTTTAATCTATTAATCTGATTGCAATGACAGAAAAAGTAAAGGGAGAAAAATGAGCAACTCTGATTGAGTTGTCCTTGTGCTACTTTCCTACTTCACTCCCCCCCCCCAAAATTAGCAAAAGTATGACACACATAATATAGAAAAAGGCAAAGAAAATTATATCATTATCTGAATAATTCCTTTCTAAATTGACACCAAGAAGCAATTTCTAAAAACTGTGGAGATAACAATGACTACTGTCCATAGAAGAATCCAAGATACCATTTGTCTGAAATGGTATAGGGTTTCCTGCCTGAGCAGGGGGTTGGACTAGATGACTCCAAGGTCCCTTCCAACTTTATTATTACTATTATTATTACTATTATTATTATTATTACTATTATACATAGCTGGGATTGAGCAGCAGAGTCCACTTTTCATCAAAGATGCCAGCAAAAGGAACATTCTTGCTTTAATGCAATTTTTATAAAGAGTGAACCATTTTAATATTAGCCCTGCAAGTATAACTTCCAAGATAGTCCTTACCAGAGCAAAATTGGAGCAGTTAGAGTTTATGATCACATAGGGATAATTCCATCAAACGCCAATTCTTGAGGGAACATGTGTTTGTCACATTTCAGAAATAGAAGACATTATCAATTGTATGCCTCAGCAAGGGCTGATTATCTACAGACCCTACTTGTCAGAACCATATTTTGAGACTCCAACAAAAGATTATTCTATTTTATTCATGGCACAAAAATATATTTAGCCACTAGAATTGTTAAGCTTACAGTCAGGGGTGTCCAACAGAGAACATGCTTTATAGAACAGAGACTGGAATTGCATGCAAAGACGAATTCAGTTCAATGCACACAGGTTTTGAACTTTTCATTTTATTATATATCTTTGCATTCTATTTCACCTTCTGCTATTTTATCTTACTCTTTTATCTTTATTCTATCTTATCTATTATATTGTAGTCTATTGTATCTTACCATAGCCTTTTCTATCACATTTCCCTGTATCTTACCTTATCTTATTGTATTTTACTGTGGTTGATGCCTGTGCTTTTGATATGGTCTATTGACTAATCAATAAAGTAGACTATTAGTGTAACTTCCAAAGCTAATATATTTGTTCTTCTACATACTGCAGTTTGGAAGAAAGCGGCTTATGATTGTTCTGCAGTATAGCTGACACTGAATATTGTAAGCCAAACTCTGAATGGTTTACAACTTGCAATGCTACTCAACAGATAATCATACAACTTTCAACAACATTGTGTGATAGTTATTAAGGTGACCAACTCTTTTACAATGAAAAGGAGGACACAAATAAATTGAAGAAAAAATATCGTAAATAAAAGAAACATTTTATTCATTGCAACAATAATAGAGACAACTTGCATGTGCAAAGTTTGCCAGCCGGGTGTTTTGGTGCACTCAGCAGCAACTCCTATTGGCTTTCGAAAGCCAATAGGGAGAGTAGCACAGCTCATGCAAAAGTTGAAAAAAAAACCATCAAAAAAAAGGTGCCGGAACACCGTTCTGAGCGTTCTATGAGAAAAAAAAAGCCCTACAGATTAGTCTTCAAATATCGAAAAGTAGGACATGTAGGAGGACACTTTTCGAGAGAGGACAGAATCTACAAAAGGAGGACTGTCCTTAAAGGAAGACGGTTGGTCACCTTATAGTTATACTCATATTGCTAAGAGGAATAGTTGCTGAAGCTAATTTCATTTTCTGGTCAAACATTTCTCCAGACTATTTCAAATCTCCTCTTAAACCAAAACATTTGTTGAGTTGCATGCAGAAATTTCAGAATTTATTGGCTTATGTACAAACTCTGGTACCCTTAAAATAAATTTCTGAAAAAAATCTTCAAAATTCACATACAAAAGTACAACCCAGAGGAAGAGAAAGGACTCTGGACTTTGACGCTAACAGAATTTTGTCTTCTAATCTAAACTATAGTTTTGTGTAAACCGGAGTAGCATCTTCCTGCAAGGGCTACTTATTTTAAATAAAGATTTAAAGCAGAGGTTCTTAATGTTTTTGTGCTCTGCACCCCTTTGAGTGTCGAAACCTACAGACCCCTTTGCAGAAAAATGTATTTATCTGCACAAAATAAAATACATATAGCTTGTATCATAAAGAAAACCAAATATGCTCAAATAGTTATTTAAATATTAAAAAATAACAGATATGTAATATACTGTATGTTGATTTAATGATTATATCTTCTTGGCATAATAATATTTATATCTTGTATATCATTTATTCTACTGTGCGTGCGCACCTTTGAGGTTTTCAGAAGTGGTTTGCCCTTGCTTTTTTCTTAGGATTGCAAATGACCAGCCCCATATCACCTGGCTAGAGTCTACAGACCATAAGTAATTTTGTTACCTATACAGATTGTTGAAAACAATGTATGTTCTTTTCATCTAAATTCACAGACCCTTTGAAATCTAAATCCCAAGTTAGGAACCCTTGGTTTAAAGATATTTTCTCTAATAAAATAATTCCATGTATTGGGTTACTTTAATGAATCAAAAGTATTAGATTCTATAATGGGAAAAATGAATGAAATGAGCTCTGTTTTCTACATTATCATACATTATGCTTATTATGCTCATTTTCTAGATTCCCTGCTCATTATGAACACAATGCCAAGACCTGTGGATTCTGCAATTTGCAGTGAAAATTTGACGATGCACACATCCCTGTCCTCTTGAAACTAACATGTTAGAAGCAGCACAGTTTGAATAAGAAATCTGTCTCCAAGCTTATTCCTGTCAGTAATAGCTAGTATTCCCTTACTGGCCAGCGTATGATTTACTTATACCCACCCAAAAAAACTATTAAATCCTCAACAAGAATTAATTCAACAAAATTTGTATTTGATTTGAGAATATATTAAGCAGTTCAGTATAATGTCTGTGGAGGCTTCATATCCAGTTTGGTTGCCTTTATTTGTGGTATCACTTTCCTTCTCTTAGCAAAACAACAGAATAACAGAGTTGGAATCGACTTTGGAGGTCTTCAACCGCCTAGTTAAGCAGGAAACCCTATAGCATTTCAGGCAAATGGTTGTCCAATCTCTTCTTAAAAACCTCCAGTGTTGGAGCATCTATAACTTCTGAAGGCAAGTCATTCCACTAATTTAATTGTTCTGTCAGGAAATTTCTCCTTAGTTCTAGGTTGCTTCTCGCCTTGATTAGTTTTCATCCATTGTTTTTTGTCCTGCCTTCAGGTATTTTGGAGAATAGTTTGACTCGCTCTTCTTTGTGACAGCCACTGAGATATTGGAACACTGCTATCATGTCACCCCTAGTCCTTCTTTTCATTAAACTAGACACACCCAATTTCTGCAACCATTCTTCATATGTTTTAGACTCCAGTCCCAGAATAGAACAGGATACAACAGAACAGAATAGAATACTTGGCCAAGTGTGCTCAGACACACCATCATCTTTGTTCCTCTTCTATAAACTCTTTCTAGAACCATAACATCTTTTTTATTTGTGGCAACTAAAACTGGATGCAATATTCAAAGTGTGATTTTACCAGGGCATTATAAAGTGGTATTAACACTTCACGTGATCTTGATTTCATCTCTCTGTTATTTATTGCCTTTCCTGTTTCTTCATCTCAGAAAAGAACATGCACAAATCTTGACTGCATTTTAGCCTTCCAGCATTTTATCTTGGACAAATCTGCCTCCACCTTCAGTCTAACTCTTAATATATTGAATTTATATCTTGTCTTTCATTCAGGAACTTAATTGGCACTTATACTGTTCCTTTCTCCTATT